CATTTTTTAGGCATTGAAGATTTTTCGTTGACAATTAACTAATATTACAGTATATAGTTCACGCACAGATATAAATTATTATATACTACCACAGTCATGCTATCCTATACACATTACTATTATTATAGCTTAGATGTCGCCAATAGGACTAGAATTGACACTCAAATGTTGATCACAGAATTCCCTTTGCAACTAAAATTGAATGTACTAATACATAGTAAAAACAAATGCTAGGAGTATATTCTTACATAACGGCAGAAATAACACAATAAGGACTACACCAGCACTACAAGTTTGTACTACCAGTAACATTAGAATACAATTTATTAGTAAACTATTGTTCTTATACTTATTTAGATATATAGATATATTAGATACATATATTCTTAAAATAAGATAATATGAGGTATAGAGATACACGTACAGATTAATTATTACTTAGTTTACTGGAATTTTAGTTTAAAGTAAACTGTAAGGGTAATTTAGTAGCTAGTATCTATAATATTGTAAAATAATAGATTTTAGTTCAATTTAATAAAAAATACAAACAGCGCCATCTAAATAAGAAGTCGCGAACTATATCGTATATGCTCACAATTGAATGGACAATAAAAAAGAACCCTAAAATTCATGCAGTGTTTTGATAACGAATTATTTGATATTCTGATCTGAAATTTATTTTCAATAAACCCATTTATAAACTATTATATTATAGTTAGTAATAATTTATGATAGTTAATTTTCCTTTCAAACTCGCTAGTGAGATACTTTTGCCCATCTCTAAACACTCAACGCTGATTGGCTGATGGACTTGGCGGGGAGCATGCGCACTCGACGAACCGTTCGGTTGTAGCCGAATACTGGCGCGTTTACTCCGAGATACCAGGGCTACAGAACTCTGTAGGAGTTTACTACTACCACAACAGTGTTAGTATAAATTTGATCTCTTATACTGAGCATTAAAGATCAAAGTAGCTTGTACGTGAGAGTAACTTTTATGTTGGGCTATGCCGCAAGATAACAAGGCAAGGCAACTGCAGTTAAAAATGGTCTCTATTATCTTGTGCAACAAAGTAGAAAATTATTTTTGCTTCTATTTTTTATTGTCATTATACAGTTTCCTAAATTTGACACGGCGCTAGTGGCAAACCACTGGAAACTCGGCCTACGTTATGCCGTAATTTACGTCAGTGGAGACCGAGGAAGTTAATAAATAAAACATCTAGTGTGTAGTAGTGTAATATAGTAATAGGTGTAAAACAATAACAACAAACAGTCGATATACAATTATTGGTGGCCTACTTCATATCAGAAAACATATAAATACTGCTAATAAAGGGTGTATTTCAAGTGATTTTTATAACCAATCTACCTCTGTAGTTTTATAATCGACTCTGCAAACCAATTCTAATCCAATAGCATGAATTAAGCCGTTTTCCATCTTTGACACTCTTTAAATTGTACACTAGCAACGTTTCAATTCCTAATTTCGTGTTCAAACAAAGACCTACCTACCGATGTTATAAATTAATTTGCTTTAGTTTTGATTATGGTTTAAAAGAAGGGTAAAAACTTGAATTGTATTGAAATCCATAGGTATAGCAATGCTAGGTTAGAATCCAGAGTAGACCTGCAAGGTTTATTCTAAAATTCGAAGACGTCAAGAAAGTTTATTCCGGGTAGTAGTCTTAAAAGTTTAGTGATGAAAGTTTGAATTTATTCACTTTGTACTAACACACGACAGTAGATATAAAGTAATACATATATATGATTAGAAAATAGCTATACAAAAATGAATTATCTTCATTTATATTATGGATGACGTAACATTCTTTTTAATATTCTCTAAATTATATAGTCATGGACATTGCCCAAAACAAAGTAACATATAAATTAGCTCTCCAATTTATAGTACCACAAACATTACATATGAAATTATTCCTGTCTATTTAACTTGTCACGCCTAAACGGCTGAACGATTCTTAATCAAATTTGACGTAAAGATAGACTGTATAAGAAGAAGGGACGTAATGTACCTTTCATCTTAAAAATAAGCAAACTAAGACGCTGGTAACAACTAGTTTGAATAGTTATACTGTATCTTAAATATATTTCTAAATAACGATTAAAGAAGAAAACGCATTAAAAAACAAAGAGGGAGGATTTGTTATCAAAGAAAACCATTACTGAGAACAAAGAAGAATAATGTCTATCATTTTAGAAAGAAAGAAACTCAGATTACATCTACATAGGACAAACCAGGTTTAACACAAGTACAACTCGAAGTTTTTCATATTCTATAGACATAACTCTATTACAATCTCAATGGAATATACGAAAATAGCAGTAGCTTCTGATAGCTCTACATCAAATTAACTCTAACATAATATTATGATAATAAGAGTAAAACTATCGTGTAATGATCAATTTTTAAACAACGGTCAAAAGTTTACTTTAATATTTTGGCTCCAGGGCAGATATATTGTTACAATAGTTATCATAATGTTATTATGCTGAATGGCTATTACCTCCCACTAAGAGTTACCAGTATACGATCAGATAAATTACAACACAATCACTGATGGCGAAAACGTGGCGAATTAACATACATATGTGATTATGGGAATTAAAATAATTCAACTATTGGTTCTACATAAGTATAAGATCCTACATTTAACATTATATTGATTACTTTGTATGCTAATATAAAACTTATTTCTTTTAACTAACGAGATAGAACGATCAAAAATACATAGCTGTAATTGGTGAGCGTTATAAATATATTGATGAATGTACATAAAATACTGAGGTCATCATTAGACAAATATTTGGGGTACTATTTTTTACTGTCTATTCCCCATATACAATATATAGTAAATATGGGTAAGATTGAAGACACGAGTAATTGCTGCCCTATCCTATCCTAGAAAACTAACTGCCAACTGTTTACTAATGTGATCTAATTGAATGAAATAGAAGCCTGCAAGTCTCTGCTCTAAGAAAAATCGCTAGATACTCCAAGGACAGTCGTTGTCTAATAAAACACATCACCTAATACAATAAAACAGAACTTGGGCGTTAGATAGTTTGTACTTACTTTCAGAACAATAGAAGCGTGGGTATATCACATTTGTTATTAGTTTAGGTCAAGTTGTCTATGAAACAAAAATAGAGACTGGGCGCATCACTGCAGACACAGTTGTTAAACTTGTTATTTATTAGCTTCTGTTCAAATTTTATAAACTTTGACAAGAAACTTTCATCTTGAAGTAGACAATATTATACTGTAAAGTTACTTTTGTAAAGTTGAGTTTCTATTGTAATTGATTACAAGCCACTTTAAAAGAAAGGGATCAGGATAAATCATACATTGCCATATCCTTGAGTTGATGATTCATCATCATGGTGATGTTCCTTGGCTGTGACAACAGTTTATTATAAAGAGGCTCATTTTCTTGTTAAACTCCGCAAAAATTTATTAGCACAGTTTTATTTTGACTTTTCAGAATAACAGGATACAACGATGCGTTGTCAGAATGCAAGTAAGAAATTTATCTAAAACAGATTAACACTTGTTTAATGAATAGAGTGCATTTACTAGTACATTGTCTTAAGTAGAATAAAAATAAATTCTACATTAGCTAAAGATAGATAATAAAAATATATCTTACGCACACATTATTCTTGAAAGTTCTAGATTTTTTCTTCAAATAAATGTTTTGGCAATGTAAGAAATAGATACAATGTTTTGAACATAGCTAAGATGAGAATATTTAATGTCAAATAATAGAAACACAATACATATAAATATATATATTTATTGTGTTTCTATGATTTGACAATAAGCTAGTCTGAAATTATTAATAAAACCAAGTGACTATAGAATATTTAATCGTTAGATGTTGTAGTACTGTGTATACATTATCAACATTCACAATATGCAAAACAGTGGTGTTTATTAATGAGTAATTAACATTTTCTGATTCTATATTTCAAAATTTATTAAAATTAATTATTATTAACACTCGGTAAGACTGTAGTAACAATTTTAGAGTAATTTATTTCAAATATCCAATGACTACTATCTGTAATAAACATTGACATTGTTCTATAAAATGCAAATATTGAAGCACCTTGAGGAGGTGTGAATTTAAAATATTATTTTATTTCATAATGCTAATTGAATAAGAAAATTATATCTATTATTGTATGTCAATGTCAAATTACTGATGCAGTGTAACTTACCTCGGTGTTGGCTGCCATGTCAGGTTAGTCACTTACCTTCTTAAACGTAATTAAACAGTTACGAGACTCTTTGATTGTCACTTAATTTACTAAAGTTAAGGAACCAATTAAACTTTCAAAGAATCTCATAACAACAGTTACGAGTTAAATAAAGAACATGCTGTTACCATAACCAGACCACGACTGAGTTAAATCCTTCCTTGACTGCTGTCAATAATAAACCCAAGTTAGTAACACGAACAAGCCTTAACGTCGAAAAACCATGCAATAATAGCACAAGGTTGCCCCTCACATGTCTTCAGTGGCAAACTTGTTTACTGTCAATCTTAATGTAATCTCAAGAAGGGCCCCATTCATAATGTATGAATTCACTTTCTTATTGCGACCCCTGGTATCTTAACATAAGACCATGTGAGGGGCCTCCCCGATAATAATAAGCAACGAGCCCGCGTCAAAAGGAGCCAGGGACCCCAGCTACCAGCTGCCAGGACCACAATGTGCGGATTAATACGAAAATCTAAACTACAATCGACGAGCAATGCATATTATTTTACATATAAAGAGCCTTGTTATTTTAAAAAGCATGTTTTGAAATTCGGTGCAAGCAAAAACAAGCGATCATTTGTTGCAACACAAGCAGTTCACAATGAAGCGCACCAAACCATATTCGCAACTGATATGTGATCTCGAGTGCATGCAAGTCTCGTGAGGTTAGTAATCATCGTGTTTTGTCGCGAGTGAAATAAAAAGCTCACCTTTCTAATTCTCTTCTTCATGATACGCTCAGCGGCGTACACGCTGTCGCCGAGCTCCATCTTATGCATCCCCAGTTTGGCCGGTGAGAAAAATGCAAAATCCAAATCAAAAACACTGCAATCCAGTTAATGTGATCCAATCACTGCATCCAATTAGTGGGGCACCGCAATCCAATACACATTCTCTATTACGATATCACTTTTTGGGCACAGTCACAGTTCAAAGTTGCCGCGCGAACGATCCTTGGTGGCGGCGAGCGACAACACGTCCTTACTGCAGCGCTTCACAGTCGAACTGAAGTAGGGGGACGAAAACTCGCCCCGCGGCCCCCGCACGCTCCCCGCTCTCCGCACTTCGCCGAATGCCGATAGAGAGCGCTACGCGTACACAAGCACCCGCTCGATATCTGTAAACAAGTTTTATTTTCATCATACTCCTTCATGTTTCAGTTTTACAGTCTGATATAAAAGAGATAAAATTAGTTTTACAGAAAATGGGGTGTAATGAATGGAAAAATATAATTTCATTAAGTTACTACTATTATGTATTATATACTTACTAAAAGTATATAAGGAATGAATTAACAAAGTATGTACTAATGAGTCACGACACAGACGTCTATAACAATTCCCATAGTGTAGTAGTAAAAGTTAATTTACAAGTGTTCTAAGCACTAAGTCAACAGAGCATAAAAAATAGCAAAGAAATTCGTGTCAGTTCGGTAGGTATATTGCGTCGGTTCGGTAGTGAATGCGTCTCGCTCAACTCGGTGGCGGGCGATTCCCCACAGCGGCGCGGTGGAGGCATGATCGCCGGCGAGGTGCGACGTTGCCGTTACGCGCCAGCTGCGAGAGAAAGACCGAGCGCCTACCCTATTATTTACGCGCGGCGTTGCCACACCGACTGGCCTACGTTGATTACGAGGACACCGCTTTTACGTTCGATCATCCGGTATTTTAATACTATGTTTACTTCACGTTTTACTTTGACAATTCAAATTCTATTTAGATTACCGGTATTATTATAGTTTCAGGTATAGTCTATGAGATAATTAGGGAAGTTACCTGACTTTGAGCAGACGGCGTTAATCCGTAACACTATTAAGCAAAGCACCACATAAAATGAGAACAGTTTCCCATTTAAGACAGAATTCACAGATTTGTATTTTTCTGAAAACGAGCAGCGAAAGCGACTAGTCAACAGAGCGCGCGTGAAGTAACTAAGGCATTTTCGGTCGTATCGAATCGGGTCGACATTCGTGAAAGGTCGGTATTTTGGGCTACGCGGGGTGCGGGAAAGGCGAAGTGTTGCTTGTCGCGATTGGCTGGTGGAGGCAGGCGGCGGGCGCTGCGTAGTAGTGGCCAATCGGAGCGTTGGATGAGGTGCCACGCCCGCTGAGAACCGGGCGCCGTGTGTTTCCTATCCCTTTCTAGCGAGCTAACTCGGTCGATCCCAGCCAACGCAGCGTTGTTTTTTACGCGACTCGACTCACATAGAAAAATAAACGGACATTTTGGATTACGTTCACAGAGAAGGGTCCCCGGATCCGGGTGCGGCGGCACACATTTTATTTATTTTGTTGGTATTGTTGTAGGGAGAGATACGGCGCGATAAATAGATACAGCTTGCGTCGACTCGACACGTTCGTCAGATAGAGCGGCGACGCTTTATTTTCTGAACTGTCACGTTCTTTGATATATGAGTTATGATGACGATGGTACGATATCACGACTTCACACACATGATATTGTGTACTATTTATCTGACATTTTGATACTTAATGTTTGACTTTTAATGAGACATGGCGATAAAAATGGATGATCCTATTAAAATTTTAGTCCATGTTCTTGTCGAAGATGCTTTGTGTAAAATAGTTATGTTTGAATTACATAACTGTACTATAATAGATACCTAACGAAGAACTGGTATATAGGTAGTAGGTCTTATAGAAAAACTTCAGTGGCCTGAACTGCCGAAGTATGTTAAAACATTTTCTTTCGGTTGCTTGTCTTCTACCTACTACATAACATCTTAGCCTATCATGGTGCACGGTAAACATCTTCAATTTTACTGTTAGATACGTAGCCACACAAATCTGGAAGACATGTAAGTGCTAGTACCTACGTTTGGTAAACTTCAACAGACCGTCACAAATTTAAGCGTGCGGATAGAAAATTTGACTTGGTTTCTGTATAATAAGTGCCTATACAAGCTCAAGTATCGGTTTTCATTACAAATCGAATGGGATTTGCCACAAGTGCTTGCAACAAGCTCGCGTACCTAAATAAATCATAAAACCATTAAAATTTATTCAGAAATTACCTCGATTCGATGGATTTACACGCGCTGAGACGTTGAGTCTAAACAGCTTCTTTCGTATCAAAGGTAACCTATCTATATTATTAGACCAGAACTTAGCGACTTCTATGGCACAATCGGTCGCCTTGCTCAGGTCATAGGTCGTATATAGATATGTGCAGGATGAGGGATACAAAGGACACGATAGGAGATGGGACATGGTTTTTAACGTGTGAAAGATCTTCAAAAGACCGTCACACCGCCGGAGGGATGGCGGGGTGGTGTGTGGTATTTTTACCCACTAAAAACCATATGATGTAGCTGCAAGCACCTATGCTGGGGGATGTGCAATCGACCTTGGCTCCAACGGCTGTAGCTACCCACCTGTTGTACACATTCTGTTGAAACTGCGTGCCGGCAATAAGAGGACAGTAACAGCATTATTTCAGAACTAAGCTACCAAATGCAACAGAATCGTGGTCGTAGCCTCTTAGTAGTCTTGTAGTCTTGTAAGTATTAGGTATGCCTTCAGATTGATATAATAACAAGTTTACTTATTGTACTAAATAATTTTTTATTTTAATTATTTATAAGTGTATTGAAATGGTAACCTAGCCCACGGCTAACCTTATGGAAAGCATTGGCATCGGCATTGGTCGCCTATGTAAATAGGCAACTTCATGAGTACCTACTAATTATATGTTAATTTGAATATATTAAAAAGAACACGCATATAACAACCTGATATGACCTGAAATTATTGTATAAATGCCTCTATGCTAACATCTTCCTTCTTACTAATATTATAAATGGGAAAGTTAGTGAGTAGGTACGGCTGGATGGCTTATATGTATGTTTATATAGGTATGTTTGTTAATCTTTCAAGCAAAAACTACTGAACGGATTTTCTTGAAATTTTATAGTAATAATATCTACGTAAGCTATAAAATTCACGCGGGTGAAATCGCGGGCACAGCTAATTATGAATACAAAAGTGCGTCTGTTAATTGTGTAATGTATAGCGTTACCTTATTACGACTACAACGTTGAATGGATCTTTACCCAATTTAATGTGTAGATAGATTTTATTGTGAGGACGGACATATGCTAGGTACTATTTATCTCAGAAAGGAAGACGAAGTCGCGGTATTAGTTATATATTGTACAACATTAGCTGACTCGCGCAACTCCGTCTGCGTTACATTTTCTTCCTTCTTTTCTCCTTCTCTTCTTGTAACATTTTTCATTCCTGGTCTATTGTTCTTGGTTGTAGCGTGATGCTATATTGTCTATGACACTCACAAATAACATGCCTTTCTATTAGTAAAAGAATTTTCAAAATGGGTTCATTAGTTTATCAGTTTATAATCATATTTTTTTAATATATTCTTTTTGTAACATTCTATTATATATCGCTGTCGTATTAGTAACATTTTCTTTTATCTCCGTATATTCTCATAAAACCCTCAACACCTCTCACTCAACAGGTACATCAGATACTTCCGCTTCACTCACAAAGTTACACGCTTTACCCCTATATAATATTAGTATAGAAATATAGATACTAAATATATTAGATCATTAACCATGTCGGATCAAGAGTCATTGTAAATTAGTAAAAAATAAAGTTGATTATTATTCACATACAGAAATAACTTTTGGATACACATCGTTAACAGAGCTAGTGAAACAGAACTGTTGGCCACGATACGCCATATACTTTACTTAGGTGCCTATATTAAGATTGCGTGATTACTACCTGTTCCTTTATTATCATAGACTACGCTGAATCACGCGATATATGCATGAAAACTTACGGCTGCTCATCGATTAAAATACTGGTAGGTGTCTGTACTTACTTACATATTGGTAGCTACTACAGTCTGAGTGTCTAGACAAGTAGCAATTGATTCTAAAAGTACACCTACAACGCGATCGAGTACCTACTAGAAATTAGGTACTACTATGGATACCTATCCATTTCTAAATTTCTAGAAGGGCTTCTAGACAAATGGGAATACTTATTGTATTCAATTCTATCTGATCATCACCGTATGCATAAGAAAGACCAAAATGCCAGATATTGCTTTCTCGTTCTGTATAAGACGTGCGTTAGGAAAGAGCCTACTTCTCTAGTAGGTACACCAGTCTTCTCTAGAAACTAATTTCGATCCAATGTTATTGGACTGCGACTTTTTCACACTTTATAAACTCTAGATTTATATACTAGCAAAGTATTCCATATTTTGTAGTCAATTAATAACTAAATGTCAATATCGTCTATTTTTTCAATTCAGTATTGACTGTGTTTCAAAAGAACAGTACGAAAATGAGTTGAATGGAATTCGATGTTGAGTTAGACTCCAGAGTAGACCTGCAGCTAATGAAATTGTCAATTTGAATGTTTTAAAGTTACCGCGACGGATAGACTCCGGAGTAGACCTGCAGCTAATGAAATTGTCAATTTGAATGTTTTAAAGTTACCGCGACGGATAGACTCCGGAGTAGACCTGCAGCTAATGAAATTGTCAATTTGAATGTTTTAAAGTTACCGCGACGGAGAGACTCCGGAGTAGACCTGCAGCTAATGAAATTGTCAATTTGAATGTTTTAAAGTTAGCGCGACGGATAGACTCCGGAGTAGACCTGCAGCTAATGAAATTGTCAATTTGAATGTTTTAAAGTTACCGCGACGGATAGACTCCGGAGTAGAGACTAATGAAATTGTCAATTTGAATCTTTTAAAGTTACCGCGACGGAGAGACTCCGGAGTAGACCTGCAGCTAATGAAATTGTCAATTTGAATGTTTTAAAGTTACCGCGACGGAGAGACTCCGGAGTAGACCTGCAGCTAATGAAATTGTCAATTTGAATGTTTTAAAGTTAGCGCGACGGATAGACTCCGGAGTAGACCTGCAGCTAATGAAATTGTCAATTTGAATGTTTTAAAGTTACCGCGACGGAGAGACTCCGGAGTAGACCTGCAGCTAATGAAATTGTCAATTTGAATGTTTTAAAGTTACCGCGACGGATAGACTCCGGAGTAGACCTGCAGCTAATGAAATTGTCAATTTGAATGTTTTAAAGTTACCGCGACGGATAGACTCCGGAGTAGACCTGCAGCTAATGAAATTGTCAATTTGAATATTTTAAAGTTACCGCGACGGATAGACTCCGGAGTAGACCTGCAGCTAATGAAATTGTCAATTTGAATGTTTTAAAGTTACCGCGACGGATAGACTCCGGAGTAGACCTGCAGCTAATGAAATTGTCAATTTGAATGTTTTAAAGTTACCGCGACGGATAGACTCCGGAGTAGACCTGCAGCTAATGAAATTGTCAATTTGAATGTTTTAAAGTTACCGCGACGGATAGACTCCGGAGTAGACCTGCAGCTAATGAAATTGTCAATTTGAATGTTTTAAAGTTACCGCGACGGAGAGACTCCGGAGTAGACCTGCAGCTAATGAAATTGTCAAATTGATTTTTTTAAAGTTACCGCGAAAAATGCCTGGCCGTTTTGTCCGCTGAACTTAAAATGTTATTCTCTGTTTAATTTGTATAGAAGGATGTAAATAGCCAACGGTACTGATAGTTCTTAGTTTTATTGAAATTTTGATGTAATATTGAATATTCTTATATAACGCCATGCAAGCTGTAGCTACTTGTTGCGTAGAAATTTCAAAGAAACGGGCCCAATTGTTGCGAAAGCTACATTTGTTAATGAAATAACAATATCTTTGCTTTTTGTCTGGTTCTTAAATTATGGTTGAGAGGTTGTATGCGGGACATCTGGGGAATTTTTATTCATTGTGAGAAATGTAGGCTATTTCACATAAAAATCACGGGCACTCATGATCACGTTCTGAATATTTCTTGAAACATGTATTTCTTATA